TTTGAAACCACTTGTGTTTCTTCTAATCATGGAGTGTAGTATAAGTATATGAATACTAGCTTACCTCTGAATGAACCAAAATTATCTCAATTTTCCCTTCTCAACTCTTCCTCATATTCTTAGGAAAACCTTCCTTTACTTTCCAGTAACTATAGTCAGAACATTTTCTATTTTGTCCTCTAGTCTTAGCGTTGTAATCTCCTAAAATGCTGTTATGTTCATGCCAAATCCCTGTTTAAAAAAATCCAAATGACTCTTACGTCATTTAAAACAAAGTATTGAGCCCTTAGTAATGTAGGTAGGGACAAGTCCTGCCAAACCCAGTCCTCTCGACATCTGGCATTGAGTCATGTGTAAGGCCCTTTTCTCTCTCTTTTGTTTCTCATCTCCATCTCAATAGCTGTTTTTGCTTCTGTACTTCCATGGTTCCCCTACTCTTCACACTGAGTCATTTCTGTAACATCTTGATGATAGAATTTCCTCACACAGTTGAGTGCTGTGTCCTTCATCTGTGCTCTCTTTATGGAATATGTGGTTTTAAAGAAAGCAGAGTAGTTAAATGTGTGTATAGTGTGTCAATCTGTGTATAGTAGTTTAAGCATTGTTATCTCAGCTTTGGACTGGAGTTCTCATGGGAAGAGGTGTGGACAACAGAGAAAGCCTTGAGTGAAGATGTCAGGAGTAGACGGAGTCTTCGGTGCATGTGTACTGTTATCAAAGACCAGTACAATGATTTAGACCCATGAAAGTTGGCAGGCCTTACTCGGGCCAGGCCGAGGGAGAAGGCACAGCCTTCCTCTGGACTGTATCTGGCTATTGACTGTACATCACAAACCCACTGAGGTTCTGGATTGCTTGTGTAGTTGGTGCTGCTTTGTCACAGCAAGCATGACTCACCCGATTGCAGCTCTTCTGTGTGTCTATGTGTCTGTCTTTTCTTCAGTCTCTTTTTTCCCCAGTCTGTTTTCTGGAACCAACCTGTTTGGACTGGATGTAGCAAAGAGTTTATTTTTGAGTCACTGTTGAGTATAATGCTGAGAAGTACATAACCACCAAACTTTTTTGGTGGAATAAATATAAATGAATGACGAATATTTGGTATTTTCTCATGGACAGACGTACTGTTCATAGTATTTAGGAAGCAGAGGCACACAGGTTGATCTCATATTTTTATCCCTGCTGGGGATTTGATCCCAGGTCCTCATGCTTACACAGCTTGGACTTTACCCACCAAGTTGTCCACCCAACCCTGTGTGAGGCCATTTAAAAACACAAAATAAACTTTCTTGATGAGAGTCCTACTTGGTGTTTGACTTCTCCAACGTTCAGCATTATTTCTGAAATTGAAAAGATTTATAACTAATAACTATAACTATCTTAGAACCATTGGCAATGATTCATAAATAATACAGATTAAAATTATATTCTAGGGGTATGAATCTATTGTTCCAAAACTACCATATATGACTCTCCTTGATTGCACCTAGGATAAGCCAAAAATGTCAATATCTGACTTTACATCAGCAATGAGAAATTATATATGCTTTCATACCTATTTCCATCTAACCCTTTTAGAAAACCAAACAGGCATGACATATTGAACAGCACCTTCGTATATGTATAAGGAGACCAGGAATGCTGTGTTAAGCAATGTTTGAGTGACGATGAAGTCTCCTATGCAGTTTACAATGGTGTCAGTATACTGTCTTGCTCTGTCCTAATTGTTCAAAGGAGTATTCCTTATTGCCAATTGATCTGTTTATAGCTAAATATTGTAAGGAAAGAAAGGATAATTTCCACATTTTGCATCTGTAGGAAACCCATATTTCCTATTCATCATGGTTTATAACAAGAAGCACCCCATCTCTTAACCATGGTGGCATCGTGTTTCCAATTCTCCATCACTTAATCATGGGAGAACCATGGCTCCAGTTCTGCATCTCATAACTGTGGTGACACCACATCCAGTTCTCCATCTTTAATATACACTATTGCAGGTGCTCTAAAAGCTGACTAAAGGCCAGCTTCTCTTCTGGTTTCCTTCAACCCCAAGTCAAGACATTTGTTTCTTGTTGCTGCTATAACAAAACAATCAACAGACACAATTAACAAAACCAATGGCTTATGACAACACAAAATTTTTCTCCATTACTATTTTTAAATTAACAATCCAGGGTTAAAACGATGGTGTTGACAAGGCTGTTTTCTTCTGAAGGCTTTAGCTGATAATCCATTTCTTGGCTGGTTCCATCTTTTAAAGGTATATTCCTTAGATCATTGCCCATTCCTCCATCATTATAGCCAGGATATAGAGTTGACTCTTCTCTACCTTCTCTTGCTTTTATTAGTCTTATAGAGATATTCATTGTTATATTGAACCCACTAGATCACTGTCTCTGCAGTTTAAGATCTATCATATATTTGTTCAGCAAATAAATAAATAAATAAATAAATAATACAGATGGATATGGATATATGTAAAGCCATCACTCAGATGGCCAAAGGATGTCTGAGAAGGTGACAGGAAAGTCTGAGCAAGGGCTAGAACCGTACTTGAAAACACTAGGTAGAGAGTCTGGTAGTCAGGTAGTCGGCACAACATTCTGGACACCAAGGAGACATGAGGATCCTGGTTCTGCTGAACATTTTGATTTTCAGACATGTACATAATGCCCCAACCTATTCTGTTATACATAATAATCCGAAACACTAAGAGTGCTATGTAAGTTATGAGCATTCAAGATAATGAAATGGTCTGTGAACTGATACATACAGAACACATTATACAGATACTGTTTAATGCAGGTCCTATATACGATGAGAACCTATATACTCTGTAGAGGTAATATTTATTGATCTTAAGTAGTTTCAACTGTTCAAATGGTTCAGCATGGAACATATTCCCCTGAGAAACTCATGACCTCTTCCTGTTTCCTTTTCTCCTCATCTATCTAGACGATCCTATCAAAGGAGGAACTGTTAGCAAAGGCTGTGCTCCGTTAAGCCTCTTTGCTCTCACTGTTTCACTGTCTCTTGTTGCGAAAGATCTTCATTCTACACCTACTTGCTGTTTTGAACAGTCTTTCTTGGCTTTCCCTTCCTTAGAATCTCTAATTCCATCCTTCCGCCACCTCTTCAGTATCTTAAAATATACCAGATTTCACTGGCTTGATATCCCTTGGAAAATACACTCTCCAGCTAGCAGAAGTTATTCACAAATTATAACACTATTGTTCATTTACTCTTCTTAAATTATTTTGATTTTAGATTAAAAAATTACTTTTACCATTTGTATTCTGGATATACTCTTTCAAAAACAAAAGTTAAATTTCTTTACTTATTGTACTTGTAGGATTTATATTTGTATTTGCTGGTTATTGACCACTGTGAATACTGTTTCCACTTCTAAAATGCACGCAAAAGAATTTTGTTTCAACAAAGTAGTTTAAAACCCATTTTTGCTACTTTCTATGGGTAGTTTCTAATCCCAAGAGCTCATCTCACATTTACTCATTCTAGTTAATATAGGCGATTATATTATATTATATTATATTATATTATATTATATTATATTATATTATATTATATTATATTATATGGGTCATTATAGTTAATATAGACATATATGTTTAATAATCTGACACAAGAATTGCCCAATTGTATTGGAAAAAATTTACATGGAGCTTTGAAGTCTTGTGGAAGAGTTGGGGGAAGGATTGGGGAACCTGGAGGGCATAGGGACTCCACAAGAAGACCAACCGAGTCAACTAACTTTGACACTTGGGGGTTCTCAAAGTCAGAGCCACCAGCCAAAGAGCATACATGGGCTGGATGTAGGGCCTTCCTGCACATATGTAGATGTGAAGATGTGCAACTTGGTCTTCGTGTGGGTCCCTTCAACAACTGAAGTGGAGACTATCCCTAAAGCTGAACCCTGTTCCACTAATTGGGATGCCTTGTGTGGCCTCAGTGGGAGAGGATGTGCCCAGTCTTGTAATGACTTTTGGTGCCAGGGTGGGATGATACACAGAGGAACCCTCTCCCTTCCCGGAGAAGGGGGCTGTGTAAGGGTGGGACTGGGAGGAGGGGGGCTGTCATCAGGATGTAAAGTGAATAAGTAAATAAATAAATGGAAAAAATAAAACTGCATTAAAAATGTGTTTTCTCTCCTTAAGAAAGTTAGCATATTTTTAATCATAAAGAAATAAAAAGGAAATGCGACAGTTAAACTTAAGTTTAAACTCATGTCATAATGTTTCTCTAGATTTTTTTCTATAAGTACATAATAATGAATATCATTATGGTATGTACTCTATGAGGGTACACATATTTGTCCTGTTTGTCACTGTATGCTAGGGACGGCTCAGCTACTGTTGGCTGCACTTCAACAAACAATTGAACAAATTAATGTGAAAATAAATGTGAAATTTTCAGAGTGGCTTCAAAAATAATGTATAAGTAATCAGTATAAACAATGCTATTGTGATCAGAAGTATAGAATTTCTCATTTTCAGTCAAGCTCATAATCTCTTCTAGAATGATCTGTTATGAGTAATAACTGGTAACATTAAGAATGCTGTCAATATTTTTATAGATATATATACACATATATTCATATATATATTTATATATGATACCACATAGATACTATTATATTCAAGCAATGGTAGTGTGTTTCAAATTCAGTTGAACTTTACCTTCCTAATGCTGCAACTCTTTAATACAGTTCTTCATGTTGTGGTGACCCCCAACCATTAAATTATTTTGTTGTTACTCCATAATTGCAATTTTGCTATTGTTACAAATCATATCATAAATATCTGATAGTCAGGATAACTGATATGCGACTCCCAAAGGAGTCACAATGCACAGTTTGAGAACTGCTGGTTTAAGTGGTTTATAGATTGGTAAATACAATCTATTTTTCCTTATGTTGTAACTCGAGTTGTGCTGAAACTTTCCAAATGATTGAGATTTCTGGTTTTGCTGTCTGTCCACAGAATGGCTTCACTCCTTTGTACATGGCTGCCCAGGAGAATCACATCGATGTTGTTAAATATTTGCTAGAAAATGGAGCTAACCAGAGTACTGCTACAGAGGTGGGTCTGCTATTGGATTCCTTAAAGTCTATAGTCTTTATACCAGTTGATCTCAACTATTCTGTCTAAAGCATATTCATATTACTGTTGTAATCCACAATAATGGCCAGTAAGTGACTCGAGTTTGTGTACAGCAACATGAGTTTGTACCTTCATTTTAGATCATTATGTGCTATTATTTTCATTATTATTAAGCTTGGATTTGTGGATGAAACATGGTTCTCACTTTGTAGCACAAGTCAGCCTTGAATTTGTGTTTCTCATGGGATTATAGGAGCATTTGTGACCTGTTTTGCTTTTAGGATCTTAATAACTTTCTAAATTTAGATTCCAATAAATGATCCTCATTCCTTTCTGTCGATATTTTGTTTTAAGATACAATGTAATTCCTTCAATGAAAAATTCTAACCATTAGAAATAATTTATAGCTATTTGTATTAGTGTAATTTTCTAAGGACTATATCACAGCAATGTTATTTATGACAAAATACAAATCATGACATAAGTGTGTGACCATGGTTATGGCAATCCCTAGCTAGAATCGTTGACATTTGTTCAGTTTCTGAGGGTTCAGCAAATCTGGAGATATGTAAGAGTTAGAGGGAAAGGGAATCAGAGCATCCCCCCCTTTCCACCGCACATCTCCCTCAGAGGCAAAAATGACGCCTTTTTGTTTCCCATCTCTTGGCCCACAGCCAAACGTGACTGGTACCCAGAAGCCATCTTGATATTTCTTAATATCCAGTATCTCTTCCTTTCAGACAGTTTCATCTTTAGGTAAAGTGAACACAAATTCCCTTCCATGCCATGCTGGACAGAAAAGTCACTGAAATGTATTAAATTGACTTCTGATTCTTTGCGGCGGGGGCTAGGGGGAGGGCGGTAACTTTTATGTACCTATTCACTATCACTTTCTGACAGTTTATTCTCGTCATAGAGGAAGTCACTATCAACGCTAAGTTATGTGTTATGTCATATATACCTTAATTATAACTAGAAAATACAACTGCCCTTTATGACATCCTTCTGTGTTCGGCATTCAGTAACACAGACACAGATTATGCACTTGCAATATGGATATGTAGATTTTTTTTTATAACCTGGAGCCTTTTTGTCCTTTGAGACACTAATTTTATCTGTGAGTAGACTGTGCATATCTTAAAGTAATGATCAGAAAACAAATGACTGTGTCTCAAAGATTTGTCCCAGCATAAGGGAATCCATCTGTCTTCTTTTTCCTTGAAGGCTGAATTGTTAATAAGATGAAACCTTCACATCAGAATCCTCTCACCCACCCAGGGGACTTAGGGTGTGGCTAGTGTGGGTTTTCAGTGAACTCAGTTCATGATGTTCTCAGCAGATGGGCAACTTTTTTGGTCTAGTTGATCATAGTAGCATCACAGTGTGACTCCAGAAATAGCCCTTAGTGATCACTGCACCAGCAGAGGCTAAGGTATATGGTGGACTGCAGAAGCTTCAAGCCTCTGACTGTTTAACCTAATTCAGCACTTGCAAAGGAATCAAAAGAGAGTGGGGTGAACTCTAGCTGTCACAAGTATGTCTTACATTTCATTTTAAAAATGTCATTGAATAACTAAAGTCATCTTCTTACAATGATTGGAAATTTATAAATTTATACTGATCCCCCACCTACTTTTATGGTTACTGAGAGTCACATGGACACACAAATCCTTCCAACAATACCATTCTGTAACGAATAGTACTATTGCAGGGATGAACAGTAGATGCTCTAATGCTCTGTCTGAAATATCTTCTTTGGTTTCCTTGAAGTAAGTGTGACAGGAAAAAGGAACACTTCTGTGTTTGTGAGTAGCAATGATGTGTAAAAATCAATTACCAACCAGACACTATATCCACTTTAACAAACCAGATAATTATGCAGTCCTTCCACATGGCATTGAAATGCATACACACAAACACACACACACACACACACACACACACACACACACACACACGAAGAAATGCTTAGCTTTAAAATTTCTTATAAATAAGATTAGTAAATAAAAAATGTAATCAAAGCTGTGTAACTTAGGTGGGTTTCTTTTCCCAGAGTTCATTGAGGTATTTTAACAGATTATTATACATAGTTAGTTTTCTTCCCTGAAATACAGATCAGAATGAATTCCACGTGGTTGTAATCCAGCTTTTATTCCTCCAAAGGGAGTTTCCTGTCCAGCCAGCACCATTTTTATGTCTCTTTTCCCTTCCTTCCTTCTAAATTCTGCCAAAATTTAAGGCTACAATCTTTTTACTGGAGTTCCTCTCTGTGGGCTGTGTCTCTAAGGAAACACAAAACAGAACAAAAATAAAGTCCAGATGCCATTAATACAGACTCCTGGGGAGTGCTAGGGAAAATAAATCCAAATATGCAGATGTCAGTGGGCGTGTCCTTCATTCACAAAGTACCAGCTCTGACACACCTGTATATCGCAGCTGCTTGCTGTTCCTTGCCTTAAGACACTAAACTTTACCCCTCCACCCTATGAGGCAGTGTGCTATATTTAAAATTCAAACATACTCAAATGAACTAGCAATCTATTCATGCTGCATGCATGTTTATGCTATCTACCTATTACTATCATTCATGCTGCATTTATGATTCATGTTGCATACATGGTATGATACACTTGAAAAAGATTGTTTTTCCTCAAAAATTCCACAGTTATCACTTAAATGATTCATACTGAAAACACGTGAGTAGTCAGAGTTGGGTGAATTCCTCCTAACCCTGACCCTGGAGTGACGACTTCAAGTGTACAGTCTCCCACCTGTGTTCCTGCTGTATGAATGGGACCTCTAACATTTGCTTGCAAACTTCAGAGCATTGAGGAGGAATACACTTGCCATCCTTTCCAGGAGCTAAACACTTGCTTCTGAAGATGCAAAAACGACTTTCCAAGTTTTGGAAATATACCTGGAGACCGTTCTAACTTTCCAGTGTTTGTGCTGTCGTGTGTTGAGCCGCTTTTTTAAGTTGACAATTGAGAAGTTGGGTTTTAAATGCTGACTGCCATATGCAACTTTATACTGAAATCATCTTATCAATCTAAAATGCAAGTGGTTGCGAAATTAATGGCTAGTCTAATTTACCAAACAGCTTTAGGTCACATTAAATCTCCAGTATCCCAACATAAATTGTATCAATTACTCCCTCCACAGCAGTTATTACCTTCCCCAAGACAATGCATTGTTCATTGCACACTCATCTTTCCACAGAAATCATCATTTCACTCCTGGTTGGATTTCCTTTCCATTCTTTCTCTTTACATAAGTAGCCATAGCTAAGTGTTTGTTCTAATTTTTATTTTCCTCTTATAAATGCATTTTACCCACTCCTTCTATAATATGACCACATTCCATAATCAGCAGGATTTGTTATGATGCAGATGGTGTCCAGTGTAAAGAATAGAAATCAGGAACACAATCTGATGAAGCTACCAGCGAATGACGGTCCACTCTGCTTCTGCTCTTCACAGAGACACTCTTTCCTGCTTGCCAGTCTCACTCATTCACGTACGTTATATTCTAGGACGGCTTTACTCCTCTGGCTGTGGCACTCCAGCAGGGGCACAACCAGGCAGTGGCCATCCTCTTGGAGAATGACACCAAAGGAAAGGTGAGGCTGCCGGCTTTGCACATTGCGGCTCGGAAAGATGACACCAAGTCCGCCGCCCTCCTGCTTCAGAACGATCACAACGCTGATGTACAATCCAAGGTAAGAGCCTGTATCTGTGGAGAGGTCTCCTCTGACTGCCAGCATCTCCTGGGCGATGACCAAAGAACAGTCACTGCTGATAATGCAGCACCCTGGTCAGGAAAACACAGAAGTCATTTCCATGTATATTTAGATGGAAGGGGACTACTATTTGTTGGGAGACAGTAACAGAAAATTAAGGCTAAATGGTTTTCTTCAGAAGACCAGCTTCCACCTTTGAGATATTTGACTCAGCATTCTGTCTACACCATCAATTACAGAGAGAGTCAGAAAGAATGACTATTGTGTAATGGAGTTGCCGTTTCTCACTCTGTCTTGTTGGAATAGAATACTCAGTTGCGGTGAGCAGATCTGCTGTTCCTTTAATGCTGCATTGTGTAACATCTTCCCTCTTTTCCCCACAAAACAATGCTTCAGATGATGGTGAACAGGACAACCGAGGTACAGTATCGCCATTATACCAACATTTCCCTTGCTTTTATTTATCGTTACTTTTTGCCCAGTTAGAGTAAAAGCTCACTAATTCATACTAATAATTAAAGTTCTACCAGTGGGAAACCGTTTAGAGAAAAAAAAAAATCCTGAAATTAAGAAAGAATGAGAACTTAAATGTATTTGATAAACATATTTGAAGCATCATTAAGCCAACTATTTACATAGTTTACGAGTTCAGCATGAAACTAAAACATGCTATTGCATATGTTTTAGTGAGTGGGCCTTATTTTGAAACTTTTGCGAAGATATTAATTTTTTTCTCTTAAGGAAAATGTGCAGGCTAGAGTTTAGGGAAGTAAGAATCCGGGAAGCTTGTTTTCTGTTATTTAATTGCAGATGTCCCTTTTTTCCCTGCATTTTTTTCTTTACCACATTGTTTATAATCAATAATGGCTCTGCGCATCATGAGCAAAGCAATTGCTTTCCCCCCTCCCGTAAATCATAAAATACACGCCGTTAAATCATTTCTCTCATAGAAAATAGGTCATCAGAGACAAGAACATTAAGTTCATAAGTTCCAGTATGTGTTTTCTCCCTTTTGTCACAACCTAAGCATTATTGAAAGTATGTTATAAAAATTAATCTATGCTTAGAGGTAAGGTTAGGAAGGGAAACTTTTGGTGGTGTGGTTCTCTAGACTAATTTTTGTTTTTGTCATTACTGAGCTGGGGACTTGAAGAGGTTGTAGAGATTTGGGCATTTCTTCAGCATTCACAGAAAGTGACATATTTCTCAAATCTTCTTTATTAATACATTCATCTACTGAGAGGCAATTTACTTGAATTATTTGCACTGCTTCTTTTGTTTGTTTGTTTGTTTGTTTTTGGGTGCATGACACTGGGGGTGGAGGAACTTTAACTCAGCTGTTGGTGAAACCGCTCAGGACTGGAAGCATACAAAAGTTAACTTTAATTTCTCAGGTACTCTTTGGGGATATTTTTATCCATTGTGGAGGGTGCAAACCAACATAGAGTTGAACAACAATTATTAGCCTTTAGGCATTATGATCTTTAAGGCCAATAAGAAAGCATTAATTAATTAGAAATTATAAAGTAATATTATTGTACTTGAATAATTGGGCAATCATTTTCCATCAACCAATACAATATTTTGAAATTAAACTGTAACTTTAATAATTGTTATGTGACAAATCTCTTCCAGGTGAGACATAGCATACACAACTACTCACCCCAGACAGGGAGCCCAAAAGCAAAGCAAAGTCCATATACCACCAAATTCCAACTTAGTGAACTAATGAGTTTTATTGGGGGTTTCTTACAATCATATAGATGAGGTGTTACTTACAGAAGCAGAAATTATTCAAAGACAGCTGCGTCACCAAAGCCCCCTCTGGCATGGTTGACAACTCACAAAACCTGGGAACCTGGAGCTCACTACACAGTCTGAAGGCAGTTTTATAGGTTGGAGAATGTCTGTTCCAGGTGATTCTGGTCCATACCTCTGGTTTTGGCTTCTTCCAGGCAGCTGGTCTGGCTTTCGTTTCAGGCTGGCTCTACTACCTCTACTACTACTACTGCTACTACTTCCTCCTCCTCCTCCTCCTCCTCCTCCTCCTTCTCTTCCTCCTCTTCTTCTTCTTCTCCTTCTCCCTCTTCTTCTCCCTCTCCCTCTCCCTGTCCTCTTCCTCCTCCTCCTCCTCTTCCTCCTTCTCTTCCTCTTCCTCCTCCTCCTGTTCTTCCCCTTTCCTCCTTCCTCTTCCTTTTTAATTATTAATTTTTAATTAATTAATTAATTAATATTCCAAATGTTGCCCCTCCCAGTTCCCTCTCTCAGAGTTCTTCAGCCATCTCTACCCTTTGTCTCTGAGAGGGTGCTTCCCCCCCATTCTCCTTCCCTGAGACATTAATTCTCTACAGGATTAGGCCCCTCCTCTCCCACTGAAAGAGACTCAACTTTTATTGCTTACTCTGGCAGGGAGGGGTCTAGTAGATCTAGTCAGTTTCAGGGACTTCCTGAACCGATTTTTGTGTTGTTTATCTTCCTACATTTCAAAGTCTCCCCTGCAAGTTGAAGTGTTTCAATCTCTGAAGAAACTGTTACAATAATAATAGACATGTATTTGGAATGTCTGGGTGACAAGAAATATCAAGATGAAATTGAAAAAAAGATTTGACATTTTATAAAATAATTATGGGTTTTTGTAATGATTTTCCTGTAAGTTTTGGCATGGATACATCACCTACATGCAGAATAAAGTAATCTGGGTCATGTTTGTAGGGACTGAATTCACAGTTACTATTCTTATTTCTACATCTTGCTTCTGCACAGTTAAAACTTACTTACAATTAATGTTACTGAATGCATAGGTAGTCTTCTGTTATGTAAGCTATCTAAATGTTTAGCTTAATATTAGAAAACAGTATCACCAAATTCTGTACACACAAATTCTATACACAGAGTCCATAAAAGCTGGTGTGGCTTGTAGAATATTTCATAGAAGCAATAAAGTGCAAATTAAAATCCACTTCAGTAGAATAGAATAGGAAATGACCTACAGACTGTGGTTTGTTACCCAGTGAATGTTGTTTGTTTCTCCATCTTTTTAAATTAAATAGTGAAAAGTGTAGAGTAAGGAAAATTATCAGTTCTTTGAGCATTTTAATAAGAAAAGAACTGATATACATCTATTGTGAAGAACAGCTAAAGTAATCTAACTTCATCTTCATCAGAAAAAGAAATGATTTAATTTGATTTTCAGAATTTTGAAGCATTTGGGAAATAAAATATATCTCTACCCACATCATTCCTTCAATGTGGTTATTTTAATTATATTTTAGTGACAATTATATTTAATTTATATCCAAAATTGTATTGGACTGAACCTTTTTCTTTATTTCATTTTCATATTGATTGCAAACATTTTTTAAAAATTGAAAATAGATTCTTCTTATATGATACGTCCCAACCACAGTTTCCCCTTTCTCCACTCCTCCCAGCCCCATCCCTTCCAGATCGAGTCCCCCTCTGTTTCTCTACAGAAAAAAAATCAGATCTCCAAAAGACAACAAATAAACATGATAAAACAAGATTCAGAAGCCCTCATACCAAGGCTGGACAATGCAACCCAATAGGAGGAAAAGCTGTTTAATCTGGGTCTTTAAATTCTTTTTCACTATAAATCATAGTCTGCCTAAACAGCAGTGAAAAGGATAGGAAATCAGCGTGCATGCCGTAGAATGAACTGGTCATTATTTTTTTCTGAGAAATTTTCAGACTCCTGAAAGAAAATACCAACCAATGCTTAAAAAAAAAAAATCCAATGGGTTTGGAAGATGCCTCACTGGGTAAAGGCACTCGATGTACAAAAATGAGGACTCCCAGTTCCAGTTTTCTGGAAAAAAAAGCTGGATGTGTTCATATGTAATCGTGTAACCTAGTGCAAAGAGGGCAGAAATGGAGGATTGCTCATGCTTACTGGTTGCCATCTAACTCCAGGTTTTGTGAAAGACCCTGTCTCAAGAGAAAAAGGTGAAACAGCATAGAACAGAAGACCTAGCTCATCTCCTCACACGCACACAACTGTGCATAGCCCCCATCCTACCCCCACATCCTCACACACACACAACTGTGCATGACCCCCACCCCACCCCCACATCCTCACACACACACAACTGTGCATGACCTCCACCCCACCCCCACATCCTCACACACACACAACTGTGCATAACCCCCACCCCACCCCCACATCCTCACACACACACAACTGTGCATAGCCCCCACCCCACTCCACCCTTACACATGAAAATATAATACAAAACTATAACAAAAACACTGGGTTTTTTATCTTTGATTAAAACATTTATTAATAATTGTTAATCCTGTATTTAAAAGTTTATTTGGCTTCATCAAAATCTGTTTTCCCCTAATAAGCTAAATAATCTCAGGAAACAGTTTTGTATAGATAACTAGCCTCTTAAATTAAAAATTAACTTGCTGGTAAGTGTAGAGTATTTATTTCTCTCTTATAGCACTAAACTATAGAGTGGTATGAAGACGTTTATTCCATGGATTTTGTTTCTCATGTGCTTGGCAGGCAGTTACCCTGTACTTTTTCTGGTTAATCAGTGATTGCCTTCTGTAGTGTTAGGCATACCCCTACTCACGCTTTTTTTCCTTCCCTAGAGTGGCTTCACCCCTTTGCACATAGCTGCACACTATGGGAATGTGAACGTGGCGACTCTTCTTCTAAACCGGGGAGCTGCTGTGGACTTCACCGCCAGGGTACGTGGTATCAGTGCACGTGTATTTTAGGAAAGTAAATAAAATGGCTTCTAATAAGGCTTCATATTTAACTGCCCTTCTTCCATTCTGAAGATTCTGAAGTTTTTCCACTGTGTTAATCATGGAATGATATCACAACCCAATAACTTAAACATAAGGATCTGGGAGGTATAGAGATGGTTGTTGCGTGTGTTTATTGCTTTTCCAGAGCCAAGAGTTCGATTCCCACCCATGTTAAGCTGCTCATATCTTCAATTCCAGCTCAACAGGAGCCAAAGTCCACTTTGGGCCTCTGAGGGCAGAATACATAGACAATGAAAATAAAATACAAATGTGTCAGTAGTCGAGGAGGCTAATTTTGGCATGACTTTTGACTGTTATACTATAAAACGATACCAACAAAACAAAATCATGAATTATCAGCTTCCAGTCAATGGATAGTGTTAGAATATTAACCACAAATTATATGGGTACAAGTGGATAAGCAATTGGATGAGACTTTTTTCTCTGTTGGTTTATGAATTGAAATTTTACTCTTGTGTCTTCCTAAAATACACAGGAAGATAGCACATGGAATCAAGCATTTAATGGCCTACTTCTGTTAGAAAATTCATTTACATGACAGCAAAATATTCATATTTTGGATGGTATTTATCTTGATTCATTTGATACAGTATTTAAATATTTGGAAAATTATGACATAAAACAGACACATATCCTTACCATATGATAACATCTGATATCTCATAAGACAAATATAAGTTTTGTGTATACTAGTGTAGTCCTTGGAAGTCTTCTGCACAAGCCATGAATGGTGGTATACATCTGTAATCCTAGGAGTATGTAGGCTCAGGCAGGAGAATTTCTAGCCTAAGGCCATCCAAGGTTATAAGGCGAGTTCTAGGCTAGCCTGAGCTACATAGTGAAATCTTGTTTGGAAAAAAATTCTTTTGTTCTGAGTCTATATTGTGCTATATTCCAGTTGTTTCTCTCTATGAATCATCCTGAAGATGTTTCAAAGAATAATTACCAGTGAATATTAACATACATATTTTATTCTATTTTTAGATGTATAAAACTTTGAGGTTTCAATCTCTACGGTGCATGAGAGACATTTTCCTGGGATCTGCTTCTACTACACAGATGTTCTCCTTCTGTGTCTTAACTGTAGCTTTACAGTCAATGTGTGTATTGTAGTTCTTGACTAACACACATTTTTGTTCAATTTTTTTTCTAACATTTAGCATTCATGGTCTATGGTGTTATTTGTTCATTATGATCAAGTCTATTGAACCTCAGATATTATGGGTCAAGTTACCACACAGATCACAACCCCTTATACCCTTTGCTAGAGAGCCATGACATGCCCTTCCATACCCAACCTGCTGTGTTTGTTTCTTTTTTATCACACGGAATAGAATGGAATCACTCCCCTGCATGTGGCTTCCAAACGTGGAAACACCAATATGGTGAAGCTCCTTCTGGATCGAGGTGGTCAGATCGATGCCAAAACTAGGGTGAGTGTCTCTGCAGCTTAACTCTCCCATCACTCTTAATTCCTGCAGCCTCCCATGCCCCATTTGTAACACTTCTCAGCAAACACAAGCAGCGTATTTTCAAGGGAATTGGTCCTGGGTTTGATTTCAATCTCACAAAACATTTAAAGCTTCCAATTAGTAAGATGAAATTAATGTTTGCTCATCAATGCCTAGAGAAGCTGACCACTAGCCCCTTAGTGAGATAGGTTTCCTTGCTCAGTTTCTGGGAAGAAAGATCAAAGATGACACTCACTTGGTTCTCCTGTGGATAGTCATCAAGGAGGCAAATTGACTGGTACCTTCAGGCTGGGAGATTGTGTCTTTTGCATAAAGTCCTTTCGTGCATATTGGCAGCTTCATGCATCTAACTGTTGAACCTATCAGTCATTTCCTTCAGTAGTGCTACAGTCATTGGAGCAAGAGGTTTGCTGTCACGCTGACAGAAGGACAGCAGACAATCGTCAAGGTGTACCTTAATCTCAGTAGAAGTGGAGTCCTTCATTCGTTTTTGAGCTCTGAAATAAAATGACATTCAAACATCTCAAACAGACACATAGCAAATAAACTAATATGTTAAAAACAGATTCTAAAGGCAAGCTGCCTTTTTTCAAATTCTGCCATTCATGAAGCTAGATAGTCCTGACATTTTTTGTGACCTTGGAATGTAGCTAATAGTACTCCCTAACATCAGGAGGTTGGGTTGTATGAGGATTAACTCCCAGATGCGTTATTTTTCTTAATAAATTGGAGATGTAGGTCATACAATGCATGCCTACGTTGCATAAAGCCCTGGTTTAGATGTCTAGCATACACATATAAAATTTTAATATTAGCTTTCTTAAATAGAGTTGGCTAGTAAGAGACTTCACAAAAATTTAAAGTATTTTTGAAACACAAAATTGAGCCAGGCCTAGTACTTTACATTTGAAATCTCAGTATGGTGCTGTACACATGTAGACCTAGTACTTAGTCAGAGAAGAGCAGAAAAATGCCAAGGTTATTTTTCTGAAGTCAGCCTAGGCTGCAGAATGAGTCTGAGGCCAACCTGGTCTATGTAGAGAGTTCCTGTCTCAACAACAAACAGAAGAAGCAATCTCCCCAAATACTATTTCAACACACATACACACACACACACACACACACACACACACACACACGTCTTCTATATATGAGAGGGAAACTGCACCCATGAAATCTAAAAACATTGTCACCTAGACAAGAACTTCATAACATCAGTTGACATGCCAGTCCAGATGCAGGAAGTTTTAAAGGGTTTTTTGTAGAGATGACACATACAGGCAAATGACAGCTGCCATCTTCCCAAGACACAAGCCCGTGGTACATTCTCCAATCCCAAGAGGGCAGCTCTCAAGGTGTGTGCATATGAGCTACTCTAAAGAGATTCAGCTGTGATTCAGCCATGGTGTGTGTGTGTGTGTGTGTGTGTGTGTGTGTGTGTGTGTGTGTGTATAATAAAGAAGAAGAGGTCATGAGTTTGAGTCCAAGGCGTGGCCACAGGAAGAGTAGAAGTGGGGAAAGGCATGGGTGGAAATACAGCATGCATTTAGGAAATTCTCAAAAAAGTTTTAAGTTAGAAGGTGTTTAAAAATCTCTTTAAAAAAAAAAGAAACCACTCAACCAAATAAGCAAGCAGAAGAGAAAAGAAAAGAAAAACACTCCCAAAACAAAACAAACAAACTAAACCAAAAACCCTCCTAAATCATGTGATGAGCAAAGCCTATTGAAGACCACCATAGTTAGAGCATGTGTTTTTCTCTAGACATTTTTACATTCTGGGGCTTCACATTCTCACAGTTCCAACCATAGGAGTCAAAGCCAACTCATTCATCAATCTTGAAGCTGCCAGTTGTTTAGCTTCTACAAGCTATACCTAGGCAAAAAATTCTGGTTTTGCATTAACTCCTAAAACGTCCCCAGGGGGACAAAAAAAGAAAAAATCAAACGAACAAACAACTCTTCATTTCTCTTAAGACCTTTGTTCAAGGGTAGCAGAGTCAGGCCCTTTTTCTCTGTCCAAAGTGTGGTGCCCTATCCTTGTTTGGGAGAGATAGGGGCTGACCACTGGTCTCAAGGGATTCTGTATTCTGGTGAATATTGAATAATAGGTTTTTTTTTTAAAAAAAATGGTAAAATGAAATGGCTTGGTTTGTAGAATTTTCCCTTGTTGACTTCTATCGAATAAATATTCTGTCCATTATCCACTGAGAGCTATTAACATGGTGTCCCCATAAGCAGAATTAGCATGGGATATTAAAGTGATATTTTTGTATTTTCTGTGAGCTAGCTTCATTCAGCACACGTGGGATGGTGTACAATGTTGAATGGTGGTAAGCTTCCAACCCACGAGCTAAACATTCGTTGTGTGTAAGTAACAGTGGTTTACAGCATTGTTAGAGTGTTATACCCTGCTCACAGCTAAAAGGGTCATGCCCCTCTTTCCAAATCTGAAGTGAAGCCTAAACACAAGAATGGTGACCTGGGATTGAGAGGCCCATTCTGGAACTACAATACTTGATTACTAAGATAATAGAATTGAGGGTTTTTTTTCTCATCTGTTAAAGTATATTTGAAATAGAAAATGCTTAATTTTAGACTCTCATTATAAAAGGGATTTTATACTCATAATTTAAAAATCTTAATTATCATAATTTTAAGTGATTTCTAGCAATCAAATTGTCCACAAATAATCACAATATAGTGCCTTCCATCTAGAATTCTCTGTCACCTGCTCTCCCCATTTCACAGGCTTGGGTTTTTCATTATGGGGAGAAAAGCAAAATTTATAGAGGTTTTGTTTGAATAAAAAATAAACCTTCCCCCCCCGGTTCCTCCCCACTGTCTCTACTGTTTTGAGCCATTGAAGTATTTGGCATTTTGGAAGACTCATTACTGACAGACTTTAGTGTTAAATTCTGAGACATTTAAACCAGAGCCCTTTGTTAATGTCTAAAACTCCATACTTTAAACTATAAATTTTATAGCTAGTTAAAATGAGACTATTAATTTGGGTTTTATTGAGGTCATTATTCGTTTCTGTTTTAAAACTTATTCATTATTTAAATATAGAGCTACCCCATAGGAAGATTCTATTTAAAAAATATTTCAATGTCAACAATAAAAGTACACAAAACACTAAAGGACATTGAATAAAACACATCAGAAAACTGGAACATTCCTCCTTATTAGAAGAGATAATCGGGGAGAGGTAATACTTATAATTGTCCTGTGTGTCTGATGCTCTATGTACTTTCCTAAATATATTAGAAATATCATCTTATTCCCATTCCCAACAACTTACAAAACATATATTGTTTTATTGAGAAGTATGAAGACCTTAATTTAAGAAATGAGATTGCTAAAAGGATGAAATGGATTTTGGCACAATTATGTAACATGAGCTAGGACACACAGCATTTTTATAACACTGATCTGATTTCAGCATCCATTACTGGAAAAATAGCACAGTCAGAGGGTGAGGACAGGAAAAGATAAGGAAAGAAAGGATTATACAAAGCAATTCTGAGCTACCAGCTAGACAGGTGATTCTTCCCTAGTGTTAACTGAGTAAACTTTGCCAAATCATTCACAGTAGAGAGGCCAGTGTGTGTGTCTATATCTGATTTTACTGAGGAAAGTGTGTATGATGAAAGCACCTTGGGGGGGCACTCAAAATTAATAAGGTAATTAGAATCTATTTATGGGAGCTGGTTAAAGAACTCCTTTGGTAACGTGCTTGCTACAATACCCAATGACCTGAGTTTGATTGCCAGAACCCATACGACAGGTTAGGTATGGCAATAGAAAATTATAATCCCAGTTCTAGGGAGGTAGGGACAGGTTGGGGATTCCAGCCAGCAGGCCTAGCTTAGTTCATGAGCCTTGGGTCAAGTGAGAGACCTAGTCTCAAAACAGAGCTGGATGGTTCCTAATGAAGGACAATGGAGAATCACCTTTAGTCTTCGTACAGACATGTATGCCTAGTCACATGCACACAAACACACAGGTATGCTCCCACACAAAAGAGTTTTATGGTATCGTGGGAAGCATATTAGGCAGGCTCAATGACCAGTACAGTGTTCTGGGAGCCAAGAACATTGCAAGTGGAACCCTGACGAGTGGGAGTAGAAGAAGCTTCTGTAACTTTAAGAAATATTATCTAGAGATGGCATGTGCAGGAATGCTTAGCAGAAGCCCTCAGTCAGGATTGGAAGACTCTTTAGCTTCCCTCCCATGTCCCCATGCCTATCCCCTGGGTCAAACCCAACCAGCAGCCCAAGGGTATGGCAGATCCGGTACAGAGATAACCTGGGACAGTGAGTCTGGAGATCAGACTGAAAAGATCTAGCACAGGAATGCAGAGCGTGGCCACCCCTGGAACTGTTGTTCTTATAAGGAAGATAGAGCTTGGCAAGACGACTTTGGAAACATAGACCTGAAAGACTGGCCATCAGCCTTCTAGACAAATCAAAGCCGAAACCTTCTCAACTATTCTCTTTTCAGTGTACCCATCTTGTATGTTTCTGTCCTTAAACAGTCTTGACCGTTTTACTGAAGTGTCACATCAGCAGGCTCATTTAGTCATGCTGTGTTCCCTTCTCTTTCACTGTTTCCTGGTAGTCTCTAAAGTGATTTTGCCTCCTAGTTTTCATTTTCCACCCACTCTTCCTTTTGCTCCTGCTACCCTGGATCCCTCCAGGTAAGATAAGAAACAGAGGGCATCCAGAGGGTTATCAAGAGCCAGAAGTTACCCCTGAAAGTATTTAGCTAAGAAGGTATATAAACAACTCATAGTCCAGTTTGAGATATATTAGTTGACGTCATTTAATTCCATTTGTTAATAATAAATTTCATTTTTGAAAGAGTTATATAACTTTTTTTCTTTAAAAATTTTAAATCTTAAAAGATTATGAAGAAATGTCAGGGCAGCACAGAACACATTTGGAAAATTTAACAAAGTAGTTACAGTTTAAAGGATCATATTCATAAACAAATTAGTGCAAGAAGAATTTTTAAATAAAAGCAACATACAGAAACCCAAAATCAAATGGAATAATAGTGCAATCCCCAGCTCCGATTCCATGTGAGCAGGATACTAGAGTCCCATAAATGCTGCACTCTGTGCCTTTCATCTCCTGGGGTATGCAAACCCTTGACTGGAAGTCAGCCTGTTCCAATGCAGCCCATCTATATTGGAACATAGTGGGATGGGCACTATTGTTTTACTTACTAATTCTCTATATCATAATCTGTCTATTCTTTTACTTCTCTGTCTGTCTCTTCCTGTCTCTGTCTGTCTGCCTGCCTCTCTCTCTGTCTCTCTGTCTGCCTCTCTGTCTCTCTCTCTCTCTGTCTCTCTCTCTCTGTCTCTCTCTCTCTGTCTCTCTCTCTCTGTCTCTCTCTCTGTCTCTCTCTGTCTCTCTCTGTCTGTCTCTGTCTCTCTCTCTCTCTCTCTCTCTCTCTCTCTCTCTCTCTCTCTCTCTCTCTCTCTCGTAAGTAACCACCGTTTTGTTGTCTTCATCAGGTCCTTAGGATCAAATTTCAGAACCTCTCGCTTGTCTGTAGTGATAGACACAATCTTGTTTTTTATTGCTCGTTTGTTTTTGAAGAAGTGTGAAGTCAGGCTTCATTTCTTACCTCTCTTGTCAGGACGGGCTGACACCACTTCACTGTGCTGCACGAAGTGGGCATGACCAAGTGGTGGAGCTGCTGCTGGAACGAGGTGCTCCCTTGCTGGCGAGGACCAAGGTGAGTCATTGTGAGTGAGATGGCATCCGAGGACACTGGAAGGAGCTCTGGGTAGACTCTCTCCTTCAAACTGAAACACCAGTCATATATATTTTTTTTTACATATTCATTATAGTAGGAATAAGAAATGCATACCAAACTTGCCAAATTATTAAAATTAGCAAATACAAGCATCAAGTTGTGACAGATGCATACCACTATGTGTCTCCTGTTTTTTAACCTATTGTTTCTGTAGATGAAAATTTAACAAACCATATACATAAAATAAGAATATTAAATATAATGGTATATATGAGACTCATACATTGCATGAGCTAAGATTTTTTTATGATGTTCTAAGATAACTATATAATACATATGGAATTATCTGTCAAGGTACTACCATTAATGTCAGAAGATAAAGCTTTGAGCTTCTTTAGTCTTTTTCTTTTGGGTAATACTAATCAGAAAAATGCTTAATAATAGAGTTAGTTGGCTACATTAGGGATTAATAAATATAATAGGAAGAGCATATCTTTCGATTAGCTACCTCTAAAGAACCATAAGGGAAATATTCTGTTCTTTATAGCATAATACAGTGAGTGTTTCTTTTTGTTTCATTTTATTAATGTGTTCAATAAAGAAAACCTATTTCCAAGTGAATAAAAGTCACACAGTAAGTAAATTGTTTGGAAGTTTTTATTATCAATATTTATAAATTACTTTTTATTGTTATATCTATCAGAAAATACAATGAAACATAAATTGACACTAACCACCCAGAGTAATTTAATGGGAAATGAAATAATTTTTAGTTTCTTAAATATAATAAAAAAATTGACAATGTAGACCTTTTACATTTTCTTCTGGTTCCTCCCTTTCCCCACCCCTTAGTAATTCTAATATCCATGAATGCTAGCAATAGGGCAAGGTGAAGAAAGCAAGACAGTGGGCACACATGAATCATCTTCACTACACACACACACACACACACACACACACACGGTATATGCATGCAATATTCACAGTATACAATGATAATGGAAATAATGCAAATAATCAATGTCATCAACTAACTCTACTATTACATAATTATTCTAATTAGTTTTACCCAAAAGAAAAGGATTAAACAAGCTCAAAGCTTTTTCTTCTAGTGTTAATGATATTACCTTGACAAAGAATTCCATACATGTATTTAATATATATGTGTTTATTATATGTTATATATTATTTTATGTACAAATATTAGATAGATGATAGATAGATAGATAGGAAGATAGATAGATAGATAGATAGATAGATAGATAGATAGATAGATAGATATTAGTTTTTTAAGACAGGGTTTCTGTGTGGAGTCCCGGAACTCATTCTGTAGACCAGGCTGGCCTTGAACTCAGCCTGCCTCTGACTCCCAAATGCTAGAATTAAAGGCATGTGCCACCACACACAGCTCAATTTATATTTTAAGTAACAATTTCATTGCTGTCATTTGAAGCAAACCAGAGTATACACTTAATGTATAGAGAGAATGCAGTCATTCTCTAGAAGATGTGTTGTACAAGCCATTTAAACAACAACAAAAGCTGACTACATACAACAATACATAAAGTGAAATAAGTTATCTGCATTGTTTTTATTATCATTCTATATTGTGAATGTTGCAAAATATATTTTAAAATATGCAACATTTTAGACTAGTATATGCAGCAGTAATTGTAAAATGTTTGTTGAAGAAATAAACTGCTATTTAAATCAAAACAAAATCTCAGTCCAGTCATGTTACTCCCAAATTTTTAAAATACATATAAAACTGAGGCATGTATTATTTTCCAAGAAATTTCCAAATAACCCTGTTTACAGTTTACCTGTAATTGATACATAGTCAACCAACAGCAGTATGGATTACCTTAGTGTGATTTTTAAAATGACCTTCCTGTCTAATCAGGAGTCATTCAAATCTTAGTATCCAGCATAGAGTATGACCTCATGTTATTGACCTCATGGCTATACCCCTTCATCTATCCATCATGGATAGAGATTCTCCACTCCCACATCTGTCCATCATGGATGGAGAAGATACAGTGTGCCAGGTACTGTGCTGGCTACCAGGAAGCTAGCAAGATGAATGCTAATCAGAAAGTATCTTTAAGATAAGTAGAATCTTTAGGGCAGGAGAGAAAGGAGAAGATCAAGTGAGGTTTAAAGGGCTCAGGGCAGATGAACGGATTAGGTCGGAGTAGGACTATGCTGCTGGTGTGTGTGTGTGTGTGTGTGTGTGTGTAAAACAGTGTCCTCCATTTCTCTATCAAGGCTATCAGTTTTGAGTCATCCTGTCTCCCTCCTTGAAACAATTTCCGCTCATTCTTTTGAAAGTTTCAGCTCTCAGCAAAACGAGTCGTCTCCCTTATCCACGAGGAATTCTCCGTGTGCTGACTAATGCCTCTGTAATCCCATGCCTAAACTCACATTCTCCAATCCCCCTTTCTACGACTCAGGCCCCCACTCTAAATCCCCAATCTGAGTCAGATTCAGTTACCATTCACACCTTGGACCCTTACCTCTGCACAGCCCAAGTTCCCTTTCTGCCACTGCCCTGAACATCCATACTCACTCCCTATGGCCTCCGCTGACTAAGTCCGCATCACCTTCCTGCATCGAGTATGGCAGCTACGATAGGGTTGCCTTCAGACCCATGATCACTAAACTTAGGTTAGCCCAAGGCATTGCCTGACAAATCACACTGTGATTCTGTAGTAATCCATCTTGCTCCCTGCTACCTAAGCCACTTTTTCTTTAAATTGCTTAGAGATCTTTTTTTCCCCTTCATACAACTCTGAGAAAAACTGAAGCAAGCAGGAGGTGATCCACAAACTCCCACTTTCACAGCTCTCTGGTTCCATGAATCACAGAAGCACATGGAGCCCATGGAACCTGTGTTCTATTTCCATGTCACCTGGCACAGCCTCCTACTCCTCCCTTTCCTAACTGCTTCCCTTATTCGCCTTCTAGGACCTGATACTTCTTTGGATTCCTTCTGCGTCACTAGCATCTGCTTCCTTGTCTCCGTGACTACTTCCTCTTTATCTCACAGTTCTCTGTCTGTTAGCAATTCCTGAGGCCGCACTCTGTCTTTGCTCTGACATTTCCTGTGGTTCATCTCTAAGCTGCACCTATGTGCTGACGGCACACACGTGCATAGTCCTAGGAGTCTATCTTCATGGCAGCTCCCCATGACTGCTTGGATATTTACTGGGCAGCTCCAATTAAGTGAAAAAGCAAATTCATGATATTTTGCCCACCCCTAAACATAACCTCTTTGAATCATGTATCTTCATTCATGGGGACCTCATTCGTTCAGTTTCTCATACAGAATACCCTCATATCATGCTGGGCTCTTTTTCTCTCACTCTGCATTCCGTCACCTTTTCTTTCCATATGTATCTTTAAACCCTAAGCCTCATAGTTACAACACATCCCCCTCGAATCGTTGCCTTCTGTTCTTTCTGCGACCCAGCTGTTCTGAACACATTACACACATCCAAGGCAATCCTGTCTACCCAGCCCTTCTAACAATGCCTGATCTCTTTCATGAAGTCTCTTATTCCTCTGAACCCTTCTCCTTATTCACCCTCCTCATTCACTACCTTAAGACACACTCATCTCCTTACTGTCTGTTGATGTCTTTCATGTGTGGCTCCAATCCAGAGAGCTTATATTTGTTTACCTTCTGTCTTTTATACTCTTTTTGCCAAATCGTCAGGTATAGTAGTCTGGGATGGCTTTTGTTGTCTCTTAGAGATGGTATAACATACCACCATGTCCTTCTAGCTTGCACAGACTCCATTGAGAAGTCAGGTGTTATTCTAATGAGTCTGCCTCTATGTGACTTGGCCTTTCTCTCACAGAGCTTTTAATATCTTTCATTTGTTCTGAACATTTACGCCTTGGTTGTTATGTATAATGTGGAGTTTCTTTTCTTGTCCTGTCTGTTTGGTATTCTCTATGCTTCTTGTACCTTGGTAGGCATATCTTTCTTTAGACTGGAGAAAATTTTTCTATGGTCTTATTAAAAATATTTTCTATGCCTTTGACCTGGGTTTCTTCTTATTCTTCTATGCCTACTATTTATAGGTTTGATCTTTTCATAGTGTCCCAGATTTCCTGAATTTTTTTTTTTTTTTTTAGATTTAACATCTTCTTGGACTGAGCTATTCATTTCTTCTTCCTTGTCTTCAAGATCTAAAATTCTCTCTCCCATGTCTTGTAATCCCTGACAGGTTTACCTCTGAGGATTTTGTTTGATATCCTAAGGTTTTTTTTTATTTCCAGTTTTATTTCAATTTGGGTTTTCATTAGTGATTATATTTCTATTTTTATGTCTTGAACTGTTTTTAGTATATCATTTAAATGTTTGCGTTTTCATGGTCTTCATTAAGACATTCAGTCATATTTTAAGATCTCTGAATATATTCATAATTGTTATTTTGAAGTCCTTGTCTTGTGTTTCACCTAAATTACATTCCTTGGGGACTATTGCTATATAGGGTTTCTGACTTCTGGACGATGTATATTGTCTTGGCAGTACATGTTTGGCTTTGCATTGGGACCTAGGCATCTGGTGTAATGATGTTTGAAGGATTTCATGTTGTAGATATATGGTCTTGTATTTGTTGGTTGGATGTTCTGTTCAGTGGTTTCTGTTGCAAACTCTGGATCCATGGCAATTGTGGTGGCTGTGGGGTCCTGGTAAAGACTGTTTGTGAGAATCTGTGAGTGACATAAAGGAGTGGAGAGAGGGTAGAAGGAAAGGCTGAGAGAGGTAGCAGGAAAATGTTAGGCAGATGTGAGTCTGCACCAAGAAACAGTGTCTCCTGGGAGTATAGGTAGGGTGGGAGGAGGGTCTTCTGTAGGGAGGCTTCTGCAGTACTAAAAATAATGCTGAATAAGCCTGAAATGGAGGACAGGAGGAATATGGAGGATGTGGTGACCAGTTTAGCACATAACCTTCAAGTGGATTAAACAGCATCAGCAAATGATGGAACTTGCTGACGACGAGCACTCTACACATTGTCCAAACCTTGTAAATTGCTACATTTGTTTTATCTGAACTTTGACATTATCTTCCCTTCCCATATGAACTACCTGCTCTTCTTTTCAAAGTCTATTTAATGGGTTTCTAAATATCAAAGCAATGATTCCTAAGGCAATTAACTTCAGAAACAAATATTATTTTTAATTCCCTTGAACTGTTCCACCCACAGACAACCACAATTAAGACTTTCATATATTGATTGTGGCTGTTCTCACTATTGAAGTTGTCTTTCTTGTTGACAATGTTGGCCTGTTGGCCTTTTCTGTCACATTACACATGCATAGTTTTTATTTCTTTGTGCTGATATCATAGTTAGCAAAATAGTTATTTGATCAACAAATTATATTTGACAGTACCTGTGTGGTTATTAAGCACAAACAATACCATAGTTTCTTGAATGAACAATGTCCTTCTGATTTTTCCTAATTATGTAATGTTTCCTTGCTGTTTATTTACCTAGCTTTTAAAAATAAGAGGGGGTTGGGGAATACAAATGGCTCAGTAGAGTAAAAAGCACTTGTCAAGCAACCCATGTGAAGGTGGAAGACGAGAACCAGCTCCACAAAATAAGGAGTTGTTTTTACTTAGACTGCTCATGAAGAATGGCTTACCCTGGTCTTTTAAGTTTTACTATTGACTGCCTTTGTAACCAAAGCCAAAGCGGTTTGAGGCTATAATTAAATATAAATCACAAATCTAGACTATCTCCAAATTTGAGAGCCACAAGGTCATTGACATGAGGTTTACCTTGGCTTCATGCCCTTCTAGCATGTTCCTGTCTTTTCCTTCCTACTTTAAAGTAAGTCTCAGACTATTATTGGATCTCAGAATTTTCCCTGAACCCTAAACCTAAGATATGGGAAAATGTTTCTTACTGCTTTGATGCATACATACACTTTTCTCTCATTTACCAACCTACTCTTGCTTATATGTAAAGAAATGCAGGCAGAAAGATCATCGAATGTACATTGCTTTATATAGTTATATATATAAGTGATTGGTGCATGAGCAGTCACTCTATATATCGAATACTGTTCTCATAATTTGTAGAATTAAGCTGAATATTATGAACAACATTGCTAAAGATTATTATGATCATAATATTAAACACACGCTTTTCTTCCCCCTTTATCTAAAGTAATCTGTTCTACATTCAGATATTCAGGGAGAGTTATTTCTCCTGCCTCCAGCTGTGTTACAGATCAAGGTTGACTTTGTCAGGTCTCCCACCGTAAGAGTCACAAATAAAACATGGACTTGGTGTTTCTTTGTTTCAATGTGCAGAATGGGCTGTCTCCGCTTCACATGGCTGCACAGGGGGACCACGTGGAATGTGTGAAGCACCTGCTACAGCACAAGGCGCCTGTTGATGACGTCACCCTGGATTATCTGACGGCTCTTCATGTTGCTGCACACTGTGGGCACTACCGTGTAACCAAACTCCTGCTGGACAAGAGAGCCAACCCGAATGCAAGAGCCCTGGTAAACCTAGCCCAATCCACATTCACCAATGATAGCAAAACCACATTGCTTGGCCAACGGCACCTACACCAATGCAAGAGTGTAGATTCACAGTTAATAACTGCCAAGCTTTTATCTCCTTTAAACCACTAGCCTACTTTATGCTTTCATAGGTTCCTAAGTGGTAGTGAGCATGGGCAGATTTAGGACAACATTATTATTTCTGAAACCAGTGAGTTGAAAACAGTATGAAACTCTGGGATCATGAGTGTTTTAAAATAGAAACTAAATGATAAAAAATAAGAAATAGCAGGTGTAGTGGCACATGCCTTTAATCCAGTACTCAGAAGGCAGAGGCAGGTGGATCTCTGAGCTCAAGGCTAACCTGGTCTACAGAATGAATCCAAGGATAGCCAATAGTAGAAGAAAAAGAAAGCAAACCTTAAAACAAACAAACAAAAACTCAGAAAACAAAAACAATAAAATTAGTTCTAGGTATCTTTAAATGTTAGAGTTAGGATGCAGGTACGAAAATTTTGATCTTTATTAATCTTTTAAGGAAAAAAAGACTGTAAACTAGTGAATGTATTTGACTGTATGATATACGTTGGTGGAGAGTTCACTTGGACATTTTCTTTGTGGACTGAATACTCAGCCATGTTCTGGGTGGTTCTTAGTGTATTCCTGCTTCGCAAAGCATTTTAAAGAATTCCAGGACCTGCTGAAAAGAAACAGTAGGAGGCCATCCCCAGGGTAGCTTTATCTCTCCCTCAGTCTACTATGGAATAAACCTTTCTTGCTTCACTTATAGCCTAACTAATTATTACACTAGGCAGGTACTAATTTACGCCAGCTGTTCTCTAATCTCCCTCTAAGGGCACGTCTTGTTTTCCTATATGTTAATGTGGTTTATGTCAATTAAAATTCCCCTCAAACAGTTCTGAGAATCTCTTGTTAAAAATGATTAAATATTGGGCTAGGGTAGTGAGTGAATATGGAGAACATTTGCCTAGCAAGTACAAAACCCTAGGTCTGATCTCAAGCACACCACATAAACCATGATGACAGATGTCTCTAGTCTCAACACGGAGTGGAGGCAGGAGATCAGAAGTTGAAAATCATTTTTAGCTACATAGCAAATTTGTAGTCAGGCTGGAATAAATCAGCTCACCCTGACTCAAAAGTCAGTCAAACATTTGATCAATAAGTATAAATTAATAAATCAATTAAATTATCAATTAAAACTGATTTATTTGGAAAATTTCAGTGAAATCCATTTATTACTAATTACTTAGAAAGTGATTGTACCTCCAGGAACATGTTCAAATATGTGAAGACAATGATTTTCCTGTAACTTGAAAATACTTTTTATGTAAAGAATACTTTTTATTATGTGATTAATACTTTCTAAGTGATGACTAAGCTTATAGATTCTCACAGATGATTAGTTGCATGTATTTTAGTACCACATGTACATGTTGCTTCTTATCTCTGGCTTACAACATAGATTATAAACAGGAGACATGACTCAATAAATTATGTTGATTACTCCATTGTAAAGAATACAAAGTCACCAGCTTGAGTGAGACTGTATGTTCTCCTGAGAACCGGTAACATATAAAAATATCAAATGATACTCAGTCCCCACTGGGATATTTAAAATTGTTAATCAGCAAGATAGGTATCATTCTATAAAAGATGATTGTTCAAATAAAAAAACCAACAAATATAATACATAACAGCTTAGCATGGGGGTAGATAAATTTTTCTGTGATTTCTCCAATTCCTGAATAATAACCTAGTTTACAAAGCTGAAAGTGCCTTTCAGAAAGCCCAACTTAACTTTAGCTCTCAAAGGTGTTCCAGAAATTCACCATCTCTTTCTTGAGAATATTCAGCAATGTAGTCATTTCTTCTTAAAATAAAATATATCTGGGAACTTAATCGTTTCTTTATAAAATAAAAATGGGTCTGATTGGTATACATGTTATAATATAGATTTTAACTTCTCATATAAATATTTTCAGCATAATGATGTCTGCTAATTTGAAACCCTCCCTAAGAAAGTAATAGCAAAGCTGAAACACTTTTTATAAAGCCGTCATATTGCAAGCTTAGATGAACAATTCTTATGCTCCGAGAAGCTGGTCCTTCATCATCAAAATTACTTCTACCCAGTCCAATCTTTTCTCCCTCACCTGACCAGTCAAGATAGCCTACAACACCATAGGCAGTCTAAAACATAATTACTCCAGTTTTTCTTCTCTGAAAAGTAGGCTCACACACTTTCCTCTGCTTTCGTTCCCTCAGTACGCACTCAGAATGACAGGAACAAATTTCAATACTCATACAAACACACCGCCCGTTCTCTTCCCAAATCCCACCACCACCTGTATAGGGTTTGAAGAGACAGGGACATTATGTGACATGATGTGACATTATCGCCTGCGATGTGCCAGCATGGAGTTGCGTGAGAACTGTTTCTGCATGTTTTCAACTAACTCGATTGTCTTTTGCACAGAATGGTTTTACTCCACTGCACATTGCCTGCAAGAAAAACCGCATCAAAGTCATGGAACTGCTCGTGAAATATGGGGCTTCAATCCAAGCTATAACAGAGGTAGAAAAGTGTTTCAGCTTCTCACCAAACATTTCCTCTTATACCTTCCTCTTCCTCTCACCCATCTTCTGTCCTCTTCACTCGTTTTATTTATCTGAAGAAGCCCCAAAGCCCATGGTGCAGAGGAGTAAAGCTACTGTCGCTTTGTTTCGCAGTCTGGCCTCACACCAATACATGTGGCTGCCTTCATGGGCCACTTGAACATTGTCCTCCTTCTGCTGCAGAACGGAGCCTCTCCAGATGTCACTAACATTGTGAGTATGGCTTGGGTCAGAATAACCACAGGGAAAGAGAGCGAGAGGATCAGAGTGGGTGTGTGTGTGTGGGCTTGTGTGTGTCATCAGAGCTCAGAGGCAGCCTCTGAGACATTTTGTAAAATAACATTTGGAGCTTTACTGAATGCAGAGGCCACATGTTGGGAAACAAAATGGAAGGTAGGCAGTGACACAGCTTAGGCTTCCTGGTGCAGATGGATTAAACATTCCTCTAATGCATTTAGTAAAACAAGATATGGTTTCTAAAGCTCCTCTAAGGTCGGTCATAAACATCTGCAGTCCTGAGTTGCTTTGAAGCTGAGGCAGGTGGTTTGTGAGTCTGAGCCAGCCTTGACAGCATTCCTCAAACACACACACACACACACACACACACACACACACACACACACACACACACCACTTTGAATGGGAATGAATGATGGGTTACAAAACTGTCATTAAAGCTCACCCTAGTTTGCTTGAGAACATTGTATTCCATGTAATTTTAATTAAATAAAGCTCCATACTCAAGCTTAGCAAAGACTAGCCAGATACAGGTCAGTGATAAAGATAATGGATATCAAAGCATCCCCTTTTCTACTTGCATTTGCTGTCTACTACTCAATTTTAACTTTGACCTCATTCCTATGCGCAGTGGAGATTTCTCACCCCTGCAATAGTTATCAACGATATTCTGATATGAATGCTGCTCTCAGCACGTTTCTTTCTGCCAATAACCACTGGGTGTTCTTAGTACAGAATTCTCTCTGGTCTAATTTAGGATTTTTCACTTGATATATGTATTTCTCTCACTGTCTTGAACCTCCCTTTGAAATCTCTCTGTTCATTGTCTTATGGCAAACCATCTGGAACAAATTTTCCCCAGGGAAGGAGAGAACCAACTGTACATGTTCATTTGGATAATAGATAGCCCCAGGACCACAGAGGGTTAAAATTTTTAAAAGCATATACAAAAGAATAATTCTCCCTACATGAATGTCAGCAGCCATTATTAAAATGATTGTACCTGTAGCTGTAGACTGCAGCATGTGCGAATTTGGGGGTAACTTTCCCCACTTAAGTTATGAAACAGAATGCCCAGAATCCCCCCATGTTCTCATTTCTCTGTATTTTGTATAGTTCCTGAAGGTTTTAGTGTTCAGAGTCCGTTTGAGAACCCACTTTATTTGATATATCCTTTATATTATTAAAAATGGAGAGCATAAAACTATTAAAGAATTTCAGTTCTGTACTTATGTTTCCTTAGTCATAGCATATTGGCTCCAATGTAATGTTATGTGGCAATTCTTAATCACCAAATACAGGAGTCATTTCCTAATGTGCCAACTTAAACTGAACTTTTTTTTTTTAATGCTTAAATAACTCACAGGGCTGGAGATATGGCTCAGTCATTACTGTGCTTACCTAAGTTCAGAGACCTGAGTTCCATCCCTGTCATTCAACATTCAAAGTCCTGTGTGTTTCTGCAATCCCAGTGCTGGCCTTGGAGACCGATAAGAGCCCCGCGCCCCCCCCCCCCCCACACACACACACCCTCGGCTCATGACCAGCTAGTCTAGCTGAACGGGTGAGCTCCATGTTCAGTGAGAGACCCTGCCTCAAAAATATAAGGTAGAGAACAATTGAAGAAGTCACCTGAAATCTAAGTCTGTGGCTTACACACACACACACACACACACACACACACACACACGAAAGAGAGATTCATCTTTTCTGCTTTTTATTGTTTTACTCAATACCAAATTCTGCCCTTTTAAATATTACAATATTAAATATTGTCATTTCCTACAATTTTTAATTTTTTATTTAATTTCGTTTCTTAGAAATTGAACCTGTCATGGACACAGACTAATAACTTTCAAGAAAAGCACTACTGTGTGCTTACCTACTTCTGCCATTTTGTTTTTATTCTTTTTATTTCTGTTTTTCCATGTTTCTTCTTTACATTTCAATATCTAAAAAGTTATAGAAGCAATGGTGATATTATGATAAACTATATCATTGTATTACCATAATAATATCTGCAATTGTATTAAATAGGGAACTAGGATGTTATTCCTTTCTTTCATTTTTGCTTTTTTGAGGCAGGGCCTCTCTCTGTAGCCCTGTGTGTCCTGGAACTCAGTCGGTAGATCAGACTAGCCTTGTACTCACAGAAATTCTTCTTCCTCTGTCCCCTGAGTGATGAGATTACAGGCATGCTCCACAGCACTGGGTGAAATTTCTTTCAAAAGAGATTTTTGAAAATTCTTTTGGTTAAAAAAAAATTCATGAACAGCCACTTAAGTGATGAATTCTAAGTAGTTTATTGATTACTTAACTGTTGTATCATCTCCTCAGGGCATGGAGAGAATTCGATTGCACATACGTTTCTAGTAGTCCCATCCTTTTGGGCTTTGAAAGAATCTTAGATTCTTGTCAGTGGCTTTGTTAACTTTCAGTTCTTAGATGACAGTCACCTCAAATTCCTTCATTGCTTTGGTCCGTTTGTCCTTGCATTGTTTACCTTCAGCCCCTCCAAACAAACACATGGGGAACACCTGTCTACCCTTTCAGCAGTATCCCTGATTGATTCTTGTATGTGTGTTTTATTTTTTCAAAAGCTATATCCTTCAGGTTGGAGATAGCATAAAGTTACTGGTTAAGATATAAGACTCCTTATTCCATTTTAATTCCAGATAAGACTGAATTCCTGTGTAAGTAGATGCCAGGCAACTGTTGAAACATGATCAAGTAATTACTTGATTTTCTGGAATTAAGATGAAGATGGACACTTGACCTTTTTAATTTACTAAATCTGCAAGCCTACATTTAGGGGGAATACACCTTTCTCTAGCAGTGTGGTGCCTGTGAACTTGTGTGTTCTCAAGATATTGGGAAAGATATGGCTACTGGATCCAGACCTCTGTGAGTTGGTGACAAAGCTGTGTGGACACGGACTGCCTGCTTGCTGTGACAGTGTCAGTCATGTCCTGACCCCAATGCAACCCACCCTTGGCACCTCTGTGTGTTGCTGACCTCTGTCGTGTTGCATTCTGAATGCAATTTTGTCTCTTGTGCTTTGATGCTTTCCAGCTAGATGCAGCCAAGGCGGGAGTCCATGTAGCTGTCTGCTGAGCCACTTCTAAAGCTATGAAAGAGAGGCATGACTCTTGGTATTCGCTTTGGATGTGAACATATGCATTCTCCTGCCAGTTTTGTTTTGTCTGAAAATTCACACCAAGCGGAAGATACACCAAGAACTCAGACATTTGCAGATACATTTTTTTCCTGACAAATTCCATTCCAAGAAAACCTATATGTAAACTTTAACTGGCGACTTGTATTATATAATACACCCGAATGTATCCATTGGTAACTGCAAGAGCAGAACAGCAAGCATTCAAGAGTGCAATGCCGGGCATTAACAATTTCTATCTTCTTGTAACCAATTAGCGGATTTATGGTTAAGTTCCCAATTTATATTATATTTAACACTATTTCCAATCTCCAAAGTTAAGTAGTTTGAAATGAGGAGATCAGGCTATGCCTAACAATCAGGAAATGGAAGGTTCTGAGTAAGGCAATATTTGCTGACTTTCTTTCCTTATACTTCTCCATAAACAAGGTGAAATATTAATAGTAAAAGGTAAGCACGGTTTACAGTAAATGCCCATTATTCCAAAAGTAGTAAATAAGGTTTTAACAAGACAATTCTTATAAAGTAGGGTGATGAGCTGTGCTTTTGGAATATGAAGGTCATTGTTTTATATGAAGCATGAGTATAGACCATCACCTTCAAATGTTCACAAGCCAAAAAATAACTTAATGTAGGTATAAAATAAAGGTTTTAAATACATATATATATATATATATATATATATATATATATGACCAGTATTTAAAATATTTTTATATTTTGAAAAGTTATTAAAATGTGGCTCAAACATACACATGTAAACCAAAATTATATAGATATTCTTTGGGGGATATTTGAATTAATTTCTGGAATTATTCTTGTCTTTATTTCTACAAAAAAAAATTAGTGAAATAGCTAACCTTATCAAACCTAGAAACAAAATGTTGAGTTTTTCTCTTTCGATAATCATAAGACACCAGTCTGATTTATTTAGACCCATGTGAATAACAGCAAGAAAAAGGATAAATGTATGCCCAGAGAGGAAAACTCTCACCGTGCATCCAGAGAGTACACACAAGCTTGACTCATGTTACTTTAAAAAACAGCACATTTCATACACATTTGGTTTACAAAGTCAAAATTTGCCATCAGAAAACAAGGCCAGTAGATGACACGTGAGCTCTTAGCCCAGAAGACAATACTCACATTCATGTCTAGGTTAACACTTTCTAATCATTTCACTTGACACACATTCCTCATAGCTGCAAAAGCAATGGATGTCGGCATGGTGAGAAAATCAAGCCATGAGCAGTGATCCCCCCCCCCACACACACACAGACTCATTTCACTGTAAAACTTTTTAGATTTCAGAGTATTTCATGCAAAGAATCAAGACGTTATTCTTAGTTACAAGAGTTTTTCAGAAACAGGCCATCCCAACGTAGGCAAGTTTAAAGTTAATCTAGTTCACGTGAAATGCATTCCTCTGCTTCTCTATTGTCAGCTTACCTTCTAGAACAGCTGTGCTGACTCAGCTTGTTTCATTCTAATATTGTGCTCTAACTATGAGATTATTAGAATGACCCAACCCTTGCCCCCTTCAGTGAGAACAGGTTTCCCTCTAAGAATAATCTCATCTCTAACCCTATCTTCATCATCTCCTGAGGAGTATGTTAGACCTGGGTATTGTATAGACACCTGAGGCCTGTCGTGAAGCCCGTGCAGCAAGTGAAAATGTAAACAGTGACATCACTCACCTCTCAGTAGCCATCCAAGTCACCATCTACAATGAAACATGATAATTAAATAATATTGATTATTAAAATAATCAATATGATAATTAAAATGAATTAAAATAGCAGGGAAATTTTTCTTCCTGGAAAAATTAGATTTCTCATATGAGTAGTCATAGTTTAATTTCACAACAACAACAACAAAAACCACAAATCAGACAAAAGATTGTGTTCAGCAGTGTGGTTTGAAATTTGAAAAGCAATTATTTATTATGGTATAAGTGATGTTATGGTATTGTTTTGCAATGTGTTGATCTTTGACATCTGGAGTTTCCATTGAACGGGATGGATGACAGATTTTAGGTTTATAGATTGAAAGATCACATCTTCACCCAAACTGATGTAAGCTACACAGGATTGATTGTGAAGCTAAACCACAGGGTATCCTGGATGTTTGGGTAAGTTCCCTAGTTTGTCATTGATGGAAAACATTTCCAAATGTTTGTCCTTCTCAAGATAGAGAAGATGCAAAACTGTTTTTCTAAACTGAACAATTATGCCTTCTTATAGATCACTTAAACACTTGGATAACTTGCTGAATTTCACCAAGGGGACATCTTTACTCTTTGCTGTCCAGGGCAGTGGGTTATTTATGATTGCACAATCTTTGTTTTCCGGCAGCGTGGCGAGACAGCACTTCACATGGCGGCCCGGGCAGGGCAGGTGGAAGTGGTCCGATGTCTCCTGAGGAATGGTGCTCTTGTGGATGCCAGAGCCAGGGTAGGTGCTGCTCACCCAATGCTCTTCTGCAGTACATGCTCTTTAAGTTGGGGTGTCTTCTGTAGTTCCTGGACTTTTAAATTCCACAGTGTACATATCAGTCATCTTTTCATTGCGGCAATAAATATCTGAGAAAATAACTTTAGAGGAAAGAATCATCTGGGCTTTCTGGTCCATGGGTTTCAGATTATGATTGGATGGATCTATATTTCTAGGTATATGGTATGAGTCCCAAATAGCATAACAGTGCAAAGCTACACACTTCATGGAGGCTGGGAAGCAAAGAGGGTGCAAGCCTTTGTTATTGTACTTCATTCAGAGATGCGAGTCTCTTATAGTGCTGCTCACAATTAGGGAAGATGTACTTCCCAACCCTCAGTTATCTCAGGGAGTGCCCTCACAAACACACTCAGAAGTGTGCTCTTCCAATCTCCTAGACATTTCTCAATCTAATCAAACTGACAGCAGGAGTTAGCGTAGGCTGTTAAAGGGAAAGCATTAATCAATAATGCATTATAATAAAGGAAGACTATATAACTGTGTGCAATGAAAACACACTCAAGTTACAGGGACATTTGAATGGAGTGTAGTTACATTTAGGAAATTTGGCATACAATAAATATAGCATTGGCTTCCACTTTATCAGTCTTTAATCTCGAAAAATCACATTCACAATGATCTGTTCTGTACATTTAAGTCTTGTCTCTACTATATGACACTATATATACTAAACATATATTTTCATACTGAGTCTTTCCAAGTGACCTGAAAACAAATTGTCTTCAAAGTTCTAATGCTTTCCTTTTACCAATTTTACTTTCCCCATTTTGTCCTAATGTCTCCTTTTCTCTCTACTCTGGCGTTTACAGACTTGAGTAGTCTACATATTTATTAATCCAGAACAATAGACACGAACGTACCTGATCACACTTGTCTATTCCTTGTCAGTTCTATCTCCCTCACAGGTTAGGGTTTTTCTTTTTAATTTTTTTCTCCTTGTATTAAATTATTTCTCCTTGTATTAGATTATTTCTCCTTGGGGAGAAATGAGTTTATTTCATCTTATAATTTTAGGTCATGATCATCGAGGAAAGAAGACAGGTAGGAGCTCTTGGCACAAACTTAGAGGCAGGAATTGATACAGAACATGGAGAAAACCTGTTTCTTGCCACACTCCCTCTGACTTGTGCTCAGGCTGCTTTCTTATACCACCCAGGGCCACTGCCTAGGGATGGCACTGCCCACAGTGGTCTGGACCCTCCCACATCAATCAACAATCAAGGAAACACCCCATAGACATATCCATAGGTCAATCCGATTCAGATCAGCCTCCAGCTGAGACTCCCTCAGATAACGCTGGGCTGTCAAGTTGACAGCTGAAACTAGTTTAGAGTTGAACATCTCTGGATACTGTCCTTCCTTACATGACTATTTGGAGGCTCTTTCCTTTGGACAACTATAGTGTCCACTATATGTATGCAGCATGGAGACTCCATTTTTTTTCCTCCTTTGCAACCACACTTACTCTTCTTCATAAAGAAACATCTACTTCTTTCTATTTTTCAATTTAAGTTTCATGTGCTATTATGTCTTTTTCTTTTCAGCTTTACCATTTATAACCCCAGATGCACTTGAAATCCCTTAGCCTAGCACCCCTCTATTATGAACAAAGTCCGTACCTTGCAGAGCAGTGCTCCCCACATGCCACTTGTTGCATCAGCCACGCAGGTACCCTCTTCACTGCAAAATAGGACATTTTTCTTCATTTCTAACAAATATCCAGGTGCTGTCAATGACCCCTGCCCAAGAATAGGCTGCCGTGATATTGATAACAATTTGGACCCAGGATTTCCCTTTTATACCATGTTATCAGATACATTCAGGCCATGAAGTTTTGACTTTTGTTTAACTTAATCCTTTAATGTTGTCCTAGAACTTTGTGTTTTCATCAACATTAGTTGGATGCTGCATAATTCATAGAACATTTTTACCCAAATTATTTTATGAGCAGTGCTCCTAAAATTCAAGATTTCACCAATGAACTGGGGTCACAGATACGAGTAAAAAGGATTCTTCCCATGGCTCTGAGCTTTTTTTTTTTCTTTTTTTTTCTTTTCTTTATTCTTTTTCTTTTTTTCTTTTTCTTTTCTTTTTACTTCTTCTTTTTTTCCTTTTTTCTTTTTCTTTTTTTTTTTCTAACTGGCTCTTCCAGAAGACAATAATTCCTCCTCAGTAAAGTCCCTCTGACTGGGATATGGCTTGCAGAAGGAAGCCAGCAATCTGTCATTATGTTAGGCTCTTATTTTTAAGTGTAAATCTATTTCTGTTCTCAAGCTCTCCTACCCCCAAACCAAGAAAATGAGTGGTTTCCAGTTGTATTCCCCCTCCAGAGCCTGGGTTCAACCCTGGGCCCTGATCATAATACAGCCTATTTAGGGGCTGGAATGCAATGAATGACATCTCGTATAGAGCAACAAGGACTATGAGATGTCTACTTCCTCCAAAGGATGAAGGACAGCTTTCAGAAGAGGATGAGTGGGCATCGGGCAGGAAAATAAGCAAGTATCGCTTTTCTACTTCCTAGACACATACACACTTACAGAAATTTCTTTTCTTAATCTAATACCACTATTCTGGTATTTATCCCCTCCTGAAGAGGAAATAGCTTAAAATTCTGCTCATCTATTACACTGGGCTCATGCTCAAGAACTCTGGTAGTCTGTAGTTTACCTCATACATTTTTGAAGTAATATGTCATTGTCACATAACCAGGGGCTTAGTCATGTTTTCTCTACTTCTCATATATAAAAGAAGAAGAAATAATATATAGTAATAATTAATAATATATAATTATAACATACAATAATATAATGTATAATAATATGACAATATAATTAATAATAATTATATTATTAATATAATAAACATAATATAATAATAAATATTATTATTATTAATTTTAAAAGTGTAAACCTGTGCCGAAGGTGGAGCTCACTGCTATAGCAACCATGCAGAGCGTCCATGTAGACTAGCAAGTTAGTACACAGCACCAACCACTCAAAAAGAACAAAAGTACAGGTAGCACACTCCAGTCAGTTCATGGCATGAGGCGTATTTTCCCAGACACATTGGAAAGCAGTGCTTCGGTGTCACTCTGCATTTGTCCCTTGGTGAACTAATGAGTTGGCTTTGGCCCTTCCCTCAAGAAGTCCCTATTTGTCCATTGTCCTCAGTGGATGTAAGTCAGAAGTCCACCAAGGTCTTCCCTCTGGGATCCCTTGTGTTTAGAGACTTGTTCTGTTGGCACAGTTGTGAACTTGGCCTTTGCTTTTAGGCTTTAGCAATGGCAGGATCCCTGGGCTTAAGCTAACTTGAAACTTAGCTGCTAAAATTTTGTTCAGCTGTCAGCAGGCATGGTTTTTTGGGAACATTAGTAGCAGGAGTCACATCAAACCTTT